GATAAAGTAAGAAATCATTCCAATGTGTACTATAGGACAGTAAAAAAAAAAAAACAGTTTAAAAGGGGAGTGATTAGTAAAATATGCATAAATAAAAAGAAAGAATACTAACTAGGTAAGATAAGAATAAACCAGTTGAAATGATTTGTTATTGGTTGTGATCATATTCTAAAGATGTTTGGATTATTGAAAAGTATACAGCTCCCTTTCATATGAGTGTTGAGAAATGTATCCATAAATTCATTGTGTGCTCAAAGTGCACCAGATTGATGCATTTCACTTCAACATGTAAAAAAACATCTTCCCCGGGGAGCATGCCCCCGGACCCCCCTAGAGGAGGTGAGACCCGTCCACCCCCAAATAAAGCAGTTAAAAATAATTAAATTGCATTCATGTTCTTTTAGTAAACACTGCAAACTGGTCCCACAGACCCAAACAGCACACAAAGGTTAAAGGTAACCATATAATAATGTTAAAATGTGCTAAATATATACACTGCAAAAAACAAAAAAGAGGAGTAAAAGTAGCCCCCCGACTTGTTTCATTTTTTAAAGTAGCCCTCACCCTAAAAAAGGTTGGTGACCCCTGGACTACATACTTGTGAGTAGGGATGGGTATCGTTAAGGTTTTAACGGTACTACTACTTTTAACGGTACTCTTATCGGTTCTTTTGGAGAAAAAAAATAAGGGAAACTAACTAAACAAATTGTGAACAAAACTAACTAGCTTTTTATTTAAATAAAATTAATAATATTTCACTTCAAAAGAAACAACAATGCTTTAACAAATCTTATTAAATAATCTGATGACAGAATAGCTGAAACAAAAATAAATAACTCAGTTACCTCTAATCATTAACCCATGTTTTTATAATGTAGTTAACTCCGTGTGTTGCTGCTAGCATACATAACACCTGACGTGGAAACGTTACTCGTGGACGGGGCTACAGAGCTACTAGAAAGACAAACATTATATATATATATATATATATATATATATACAACATATATGTTTTACATGTCTCCAGTACCGATAAAAAGACCGATAACGTCGGAGCTTAACGGTACCACGGTCTTTAATAATTCAGCCCCGGGGCCCGTTTAATACAGAGGCTCGGTACCCATCCCTACTTGTGAGGCAAAAGTGGAGGAACTCCATCCTGAATGCTGAACCGTACAGCACGTTCAGCTCTGTGTGCTCTGATCACCGCATGGTCTCCATGAGGGTGCGACTGAGCCTCAGGGTCCCCAAGCCAAGCCCCAAGATCCGGCATGACTGGAAGGCATTCACAACCGACCCTGGCCTTCAAACCAGGTATACGGAGGAGGTTAGGAAGCGCTTTCGGCAGCTGGATAAGGGAGCGGAGCCCAGCAGCGAATACAGGAGATTCGTTGTTGCAAACGAGGACGCGACCAGGCTTTGTGTGCCCGTGCTGGACAGAGCCAGAACCTCCCTACGGTCCAGACATCCGGAGGTCATAGCGGCACGGGGTAGGGTGGAGGAAGCACGCCTCAACTTTGAGCGTGAACCAACCTTGGAGAGACGTGGGGTACTGAACGAAGCCAAACAGTTTCTCTTCAGTACCTACGACACCATCAAAGGGGAGGAACTGATGGAGAGTGTGCGAAGAGTGCAGGCAGCGCAAGGTGAAAGGCAATATGGGGAGGCCTGGAGGGTCATCAATGAGATGACTGGGCGGAAGAGGACTAAGTTGAGGGACACAGCCCAGAGGAGAGGGTGACGACCTGGTTCAACCACTTCCAAAGCCTGCTGGGCACAACAGCGGATGGAGCTGAGGAAAGTATACCAGCATTCCTCCAGAACCTGCCCATCGACGATGGTCCCTTCACAGCCAGTGAGCTTGCCAGGGCGAAGTCCACAGTGAGAGAGGGCAAAAGTGCTGGGCCGGATGGCATACCCCGGGTGGTCTTAAAGAACTGTGATCTCGATGACCGCATCCTAGACTTTTGCAACCTCGCTCTACTGCACAACATGCAGCCTGGTATATGGTCTCTCTCCAACATCATCCCGGTGCCGAAAGCTGGAGACCTCTCAAAGCCAGACAACTACGGAGGCATCAGCCTGACATGTATCACCGCAAAGGTTTACAACCGGATGATACTGAACAGGATACGGCACGCCATCGACCCTCACCTGAGGGAGAACCAGAATGGCTTTCGAGAGGAGAGAACCACCGTAGCCCAGATCTTGGCACTAAGGAGAATGAGGAGGTGAAAAAGGATAACCTGACTGCTGTACTGTGCTTTATCGACTTCAAAAAGGCATTTGACTCGATCCACAGAAGCACAATGGTGAAGATCCTTGAGGCATACGGTGTCCCTCCCAACCTACTCCGGGCCATAGAGACCATGTACGCAGGAACAAGGGCCAAGGTGGTGACCCCAGATGGCAACAGCGAGGAATTTGACATCCTGGCGGGGGTAATGCAAGGGGACACCCTAGCCCCCTTCCTCTTCATCATAGTCCTGGATTATGCGCTCAGGAAGGCCATCAGTGGACGAGTGCAGGATCTTGGTTTCACTCTAACACCAAGGAGGTCGAGACGATACCCCACAGTAGTCCTGACAGACCTGGACTATGCGGACGACATCAGCCTGCTCTCCGACAGCGTGGAACAAGCACAGGAACTCCTGAACAGAGTGGAGTTAGAGTGTGCCAAGGTTGGCCTTTGGCTAAATGCCAAGAAAACTGAGGTTATCACCTATAACATCTTACCGGAACATCCACCTCTGAAAACAACAGAAGGCACTGTGCTTAAAGAAGTCAAGGGCTTCAAGTATCTGGGCTCATGGGTCAACTCAACCGAGCAAGATCTCAAGGTGAGGAGAGCACTTGCATGGAGGGCCCTGAACGGCATGACCAGTGTATGGAACTCCAACCTCCCCCGTCAAATCAAACTCAGCTTCTTCTATGCAACAGTAGAGTCTGTTCTCCTCTATGGCAGTGAATGCTGGACCCTGAAGCCAACCCTGCAAAAGTCTCTAGACGGATGCTACACCAGAATGTTGTGAGCATTACTTAACATCAGCAGGAATGTACATGTAACCAACAAGATCCTGTAAGAGGGAATAGGGTGAGTGAGAAAATTGCAGCCAGGAGAATGAGACTAGCAGGACATTGCCAAAGGCATCAAGAGCTGCCAGCCAGCAAATTGGTGCTGTGGGAACCAACACACGAGCATCGGTCACGAGGACGTCCCACACCAACATACGCTGACGTACTCAAGAATGCACAAAGTACCAATGAACTGGCCAGATGTATGGAGAACCGGGATGACTGGAAGTGACGATGGAGGGCTCGTCTGAGGACGACCTAGAGATGCGCTGTCATGTGGGTATATATTAATGCTGCCCATTATGGACACAAGCCATTTTCACCCATTTATTAATTATATGTTTTACATTTGATTCTTCTTCTTCGAGTCCGTGGCAATCTCAGATGTCGTTCTGCCAGTATCGGGCACAGGCCACAGCTGATGGGGTAGGTTCTGCCAGGTCTTCTGGACTGCACCGGGGGGCATCGGCACATTCCAGTAGGTGGGACATTGTCTGCACTGATCCACAGCTGCACGTGGTCTTCTGTGGTGTAGTTCCACACTTTCATCAGTGCTTGCACCTCCCCTGTTCCACACGCAGTCTCTCAAGTGACTTCCAGGTTGTCCAGCCAAGGTTGTGGCCACTAGCGAGGCTTTCCGTTGGTGTGATTCCTCTGTCCAGCCATTCAAGAGCTTGTGTGTCATTTATTTGCCATTCATCTTCCCAGATGTTGGTCCTTGCTGCTTGTTTAGTTGTCTGGAGGGGCAGGACTGTCTGCACAAAACTGGCTCTGGATCGGAGCCTGCGTGGGGGTGCTACGTGGCCATGCAAGGGGTGTCTGATGTCTGTCTCCTGTGTTCTCCGTTCATCTTGAGCGATACCTAGTCGTCTGATGTGCGGGGGGAGAGAGATGCCGGCTAGCGCATAGAGGCACGGGGACAGGTGGTGTTCTCCTGTGGGTTGGCGGCGGGTGTTGGTTACGGCCGTTGGCCACCAGCTGTGATGCAACCGAGTTTGCTGTGACTGTTGTGATTATGGGTGGTGTGGTGTGGTCTTCGCCAAGACGGTGGATTGTAGCCCATTTGATAACACCAATGTGTTTAATACTGGCAACTTCTAATTGTGGGAAAAACGAAAACGTTCCCAGTAGAGACGTCCCATAGCACATTTTGCGAAACACAATAGCGAGCATGTGTAGTTCTGAAATGTTTTTTGGATTTCATATTGCATTAACACCATATCCCAACATGCATTGCAGCTAAAACATCCAATCACCGAGCTTAAACCATAGCTGAGGATCTTGGGTAATCAGTTCAGTGGCTGTGTATCGCAATGATGCTCAAAATGTCCCTTATAGGCCAACGTCTGTTTCCGGCTATTTTATTTTGAAATTCAGTTCCTGACGGACGCCAAAAAAGCCCGAGATTATAGAATTACACAAATAAATAAAAACAAGGATAATTGTGTGTTATTTAGAAAATAATAACAAATTAGAAGGAAAAAAATATTTTCAAAAAATGCAGATTTCAGTATTCTGAGGCTCTGAGCCATTTATTTTCCTCCCGGACGGCAAAAAAAGTCCGACATTATACGATTTAAAATTAAAAACAATAATTGTGGCTTGATATTTAGTAAGAACATGTTTTTATGAACCCCACAGCTTCCGGTCTTCCAAGACCCGACCGGACAAAAAGACGTGGTGCAGGCACGAAACATACTACCAATAGAAATACAATGCTTTTAAAATCGTTCTGTGTGACACGAAAAAAAGGGGAACATCTTGTTGGTGAACACGAATCAATAGATTAAATGTCGTGACTATAACACGAAATGCCGTGAGACTGGGTTGGACAGGAAGTGTAAATCAGAGGGTTGTGGGTCATAATAGTAATAGCCAGAAATGCAGACTGCAGATTCAGAACATCCTGATGCTTTACATATTATGTTTGGGGCATCATAAGAAAGGTCTGCTGCTGAACATGTAGTCATGATGTCTGTGTTCCTGTTCCTCAACAGATGCCCGAACGCTAACGATGAGACGGTGAGACTGAGTGGAAACGGACAGGGAACCTCCAACGTTTTCTCTTTAAACATGTTCGAGTTCAACGGAGGAAACAGAGAAATCTTCCTGCACTGCAAACTGGAGCTGTGCGTCAGGATGGGAAACTCCTGCCAGCCGGTAAGAAGAGACTAGAAACACAATTACAATCTAATGTTTTTTACTTAGATGAAGTTCTGCATCTCAGAAGAAGAAAATAGAGTAACCTATTTGATAGCCTACTGTTAGCAATCTGAGGCTCATGCTAAACTAGCATCTTGATAATGGTTATTTTTAAGGCACCCTATTGGTCAAAGCTAACTGAGGTTATTTAAGCTAACTGAGGTTATCCAAGCTAATTTATTTGTATTACTTCAGGTAACTTACTTTGTTACAAAAGCTAACTTTAGCTACTAAAGCTAACTTACTTAAGCTAATTTAGGTTATTTAAGCTAATTTAGGTTATTCAAGCTAACTTTGGTTATTTAAGTTAAAATACTTGATGTCATTTCTTTAATAACTTACTTTGGTTACTCAAGCTAACTGTAGATACTCAAGCTAACTGTAGCTACTCAAGCTATCCTTAGGTTGTCTAAGCTAACTTCCTTAACGAATTATTCCTCCAGTCAAAATTGTTAAAATGTACAGACCTGGTAGAATTCCAAACGGCACAAATCATGTTTAAGGCAAATAATAACATTTTACCAGGAAACATCCAAAAAGTATTCACTCAACGAGTGGGGGGATATAGTTCAAGGAAACAATTTCAATTCTAAATTCATAGGGTCCGTACAACCAGAAGAACTTTTTGTATCTCAGCCTGTGGAGTGAGACTATGGAACAGTGTGAACGTGGAGCTAAAGCGATGTCCAGACATTAACCCTAACCTGTGGAGTGAGACTATGGAACAGTGTGAACGTGGAGCTAAAGCCATGTCCAGACATTAACCCTAACCTGTGGAGTCAGACTATGGAACAGTGTGAACGTGGAGCTAAAGCCATGTCCAGACATTAACCCTAACCTGTGGAGTCAGACTATGGAACAGTTGTGAACGTGGAGCTAAAGCCATGTCCAGACATTAACCCTAACCTGTGGAGTGAGAGACTATGGAACAGTGTGAACGTGGAGCTAAAGCCATGTCCAGACATTAACCCTAACCTGTGGAGTCAGACTATGAACAGTGTGAACTTGGAGCTAAAGCGATGTCCAGACATTAACCCTAACCTGTGGAGTGAGACTATGGAACAGTGTGAACGTGGAGCTAAAGCGATGTCCAGACATTAACCCTAACCTGTGGAGTGAGACTATGGAACAGTGTGAACGTGGAGCTAAAGCGATGTCCAGACATTAACCAGTTCAAGAGGAAATACAGAGAAATTATTTTCTCGAGGTACAGGGATGGGGAAGGTGTTTGACTATGTCTGTGTGTGTGTGTGTGTGTGTGTGTGTGTGTGTGTGTGTGTGTGTGTGTGTGTGTGTGTGTGTGTGTGTGTGTGTGTGGTGTGTGTGTGTGTGTGTGTGTGTGTGTGTGTGTGTGTGTGTGTGTGTGTGTGTGTGTGTGTGTGTGTGGTGTGTGTGTGTGTGTGTGTGTGTGTGTGGTGTGTGTGTGTGTGTGTGTGTGTGTGTGTGTGTGTGTGTGTGTATTTACACATGTGTATATATGTCAATCAACAGTTAAAGCAGATTAATAATAATAATGATAATTATTGCAGATTATAAATAAATCATTTAGGGACAAGGGGGTGAGATTAAATAAATTATACTTATTCTCACTCCTTTTCGAACACTAGATGTGGGACTGTTGATGTTGCTAATGCTGTTGTTGTAAATGTCATTTTTTGTTTTGATTTCTCTTACATGACTATGCACTGCAACATTTTATTTGTAATGATTAATTGTACTTGTTCGAAATAAGATGTATCAATCAATCAATGTTATTACTTCAGGTAACCTTCTTTAGCTACCAAAGCTATATTACTTACTTAAGCTAACTGAGGTTATCCAAGCTAACTTATTTGTATTACTTGAAGAACACATTAAAGAAAAGCTGTAGGTTTTGTTAAGAGTGTCTCGGTTGTGTTTATGCCTTACATACTTGGTATACAAACAGTGTTTTAAATATTTAAATCTGTCCATAAAGTAACGCTCCTGTCTCTCCCACAGACCTGCAAACCTCGCTCTCGCAGGAGGCGCAGAGCCTCTAAATATGTGGACAAAAACCCAGCCATCATCTCCATGTCCTGGACGAAATAAAGACCATTGAGTAAGAATGTAATATGTGTGTTTAACTTTAATCCAGTGCCATCATCTGCAGGCAGCTCCGCAGTGTTTGCCCCTGTGTGCAGGGATTATTAAATTCTTTAAAAAATATATATAGACTAAACTGCAAAAAATAAATCCTGACGATAACACCTGAGATAATTGACGATACCGTTGCCTCTGATTCAAAACAGATGAATCACCCAAGCTATTAAGACACTTAGATATCTTACATATTTTGTGCAATAAAGATAATGTCCCTAATGTTTACTTTCTTTCTATACCTACTTTAGACAGATTCGACCTCCTGAATGCAGAAACTGAATGTTTGTGTTGAAGTTTAAAGAAGCATTTCAGCAGGAAGGAAATCCTGAGCTAAATGGGAATCATAAAATATGAGTTATGAGCAGGTGGAAGTCACGACTAATGAAGAAATACATAAGAACAGTGGTTGCTGCTGAGTGTGATTATGTGTTGTAATAATGACTAATACAATTGAATAAACGGAGTAAGTAAATCAAATATGAGCTTCAGTAATTTATTCATCTTTTTCAGGAGTATATTAGTATTTACTGTGTGACATGTCTCCATGCTTTAATGATCAAAAAGCTCTTTATTTTAATCATACTTTTCTCATCTGCTCTGATTGGTTAGCTGTAATAAGTAAGTAATAATAAGAATAAAGCTATTTTAAATTGAATGTATATGGGTCATTCCAGAATTGGAGGACATTTCATGTCCCCCATATAAAAAAAACTAATAATCCATGCCCAAAATGCTAAAACATGCACTTGTTGTGTTAAACATACTTGTCTTGAGACAAAATGTATATAAAGTTGTAGAAAAAGTGGTTTCAAAATATTATTTAAATGATCAAATAGCTCTCGAACATCCCCTAAAATGGCATTTTTCTCTTGTCCCCGCTTCTTGGTGACCAACTTGCATGTCAAATATAACATTTAAAATAGGGATTTTATTTACTTTTTGTTGGTATTATTCTATTGATATATGTCTCTTGTAATGGTAAAATCAATTTGTTAAATCATAAACATATTTTAGATAAGGCAAGGCAAGGCAAGTTTATTTATATAGCACTTTTCAACACAAGGCAATTCAAAGTGCTTTACAAAAAATGAAAGAGATTAAGAAAATGGCAGATAACAGTAATTTCGCACAGAAGGTGTGTCCCTCAACATGCGTTCAACCCTGTTACCCAAACCTTTTTAGATTGGCACAGGAAGTGAAAAAACTGTAAATCAGATGACACAGTGGAAGTGACATCAGCAAGCCATGTGATAGTGCCATGGGTAGACCAAAACTAAGTCCTCTCTTTTATTTTTCATATTTTTACAATCTTTTCAGTCTTAAAAGAGTGTGGCACTCTGACCCACTCAACCCTGTTACTGATATTATCAGAATAAAGCATATTCATTTCAAAGTTATCTTTCTTTCATTAGATATCCAAGTTTGTCCTTGCCTTGAAAGTAGCATTACATGCTACATCTAGCAATAATTCCTGAGATTAAAGCTCAAATTAGCATTGATTTTCAACCCTGTTACTATAATTAGAGTAGCAGGGGTAATTCTTCATTGGAAAATATTAATTTGATGCCTAGCTGGGCAAATCACTTTTTTTGATGGTTTATTATCTGTTTTTCCTAAATAAAAGGTTAATTTTTCAAAAATGTTGGTGTCTAAATTGTCCTCCAATTCTGGAATGACCCATATTTGTATTTGTTATGTCTCGATGCCAACTGCCTTTATATGTAAATAATATCCTACTTTTAAATGTCCATTATCTTATTGCATTAAAAAAAAGAATGAGGTAAAAGTCTGTGCGTCCTGGCAGCGTGATGACGTCATGTTACCGTAGAAACAGGAGCATCGATTTGCTGCTAACAGCTAACAAGTAAAACATTATAATCTGAGCTCTGTAACGTCCCTTAATTCACTTTTAAAGCCTATCGACTCACCGTGGAGGTTTTCTAACAGGTAATGTCACTTTTTACTTTAGGTGTTGTCAGTTAACGGTTAGATGTGGTGTCTGAAAGCGATTAAAAAGGCTTATGGTGAACACGCTGCTAATGCTAACAGATGTGATTAGTTATGTCATCCGTTATATTCTGTGACCCCCCGAGAGAAAACACGTGACTAAATAACAGGTGAGGTGTGGAGAGCGGACTAACGGTCACCTTTCAACACAGGGTGCTCTACAAACATGAACAACATTTAAAAAAGAGTGCAGCAGAAACACATTATGAAATGGCATTTAGAAAACAGTCAAAGAGAATACAATAAACATAAAACAAGCTCATATAAAATACATGTTATATATTGTGAGATATGAAAGTCTTGATTTAAAAAGGACCATAAGGTTTCATGTAGTTTGTTCCAGATATTTGGAGCTTAATAACTGAACTGCTCCATGTTTGTAATGTAGCAGGAGATCACAATAAACCATTCAATGCTTTTCAAACCAGCAGCAGTATTTAAAAATCAGTTCACTGACAGACAAGAAGCCAGTGTAAAGACCTGAGTGTATAAAAGGCTGGACCTTTTATATATGATAATAATAATAATAATAAACTAGCACCTGTCAAAACCTAGTTAGAAAAGCAACAGGCAGTCATATTTCATGGCCTGGGATCAAATCCTTGCCGAATGAAGCATAGATGAAAGTCTCAAGATAGATGATTGAACTGCAGAGGTGGGAAGTATTGGAGTACACATACTTTGTTACTGTACTCAAGTACATGTTTCTGGTATCAGTACTTTACTCCACTACTTGTTTTTCTGACTACTTTGACTTCTTACATATACCTGTACTTTCTACTTCTTACATTTTGAACTCAAATACCTGTACTTTCTACTTCTTACATTTTGAACACAAATACCTGTACTTTCTACTTCTTACATTTTCCAAACAGCTGGTTCCTTTAGTCTGAATGTGTGTTTGATGCGTGATCATTATTCTTTAGAGTCATTGCGTGCCTATTGATTTGAACACGATCCGTGTATCCATCATTTCCTGGTCTTCTCTAAAGAAGAGGGACCAATGGAAACGTTGTCATGTTGCCGTTGTTCAGCATGGAAACATTCATTAGCTAACAATGACATTATTGTTCTATTAATATAAAGGGAGGTCAGGTACTCTTTAAAACAGCTGCTAGTTATGGGTACTTTCTACTGAAGTACATTTCAAAGCCCTCTTTACTTTTACTTGAGCAAAGAAGTTTAGTCAGTATTTCTACTTTCACCAGAGTATTTTTAAACACGAGTATCTGTACTTCTATACTTGAGGAAAGGATGTAGGGAATCGCAGTGTCTCTCTCTCGCTCCCTCTCTATCAGTCGCTTGTCAATCTTAATAGTCAATGAAATTAGGGAGTCCAAATCAGCTGGAAGCTCAAGAGGAGCCAACTGATCCTTTAATATGCCGGACAATCCATAAAGGAAAGCATCAAACAATGCTGATTGGTTCCAGTCACTGTCCGCTGCCCTGGCGCAATCCAACGAGTGCTCTGGCTGCCCCGCCCAGGTGGGATGTGCTGGAAGATCTTGGTGAAGGTCTCAGAGAAGAGATCGAGGGAGTCACAAACAGGAGACCTTCGCACCCACTCTGCCGTCGCCCAAGCCTCAGCTCGGCCAGAAAGGTGGGAGATAATGTATGCCACCCTTGAGCGCTCAGATGGGTAGCATGCAGCCTGCAGCTCAAAGTGGAGGCCGCACTGAGCCAGGAAAGCCTGACAATCACCGGAATCCCCAGAAAAACGCTCTGGTCGGGAGAGGTGAGGAGACAGGGTCGGAGTTGGAGACTGGACTGGAGTAGGATCCACTGGGGAAACAGACAATGGGGGAGCTGGAGGACTTGGCTGGAGTAATAGTTTTTGGATATTTTCGACCAAATAACAGACTTGCCCACCAAAAGACGACAAAACAGACTCCTGTCTCTCGGCCATCAACTTTAAGTCCTGGCGAAGCCCGGTAAGTTCCTCCTCTTGGTGGTAAATCCTCCTCCCTTGACTCTGAAGAGCAGCCCGCACAGAATCCTGGTCGGCTGAGTCCATGCTGGCCAGTTCGTACTATCAAGCACAAGAATGGCCACGAGCAAAAATAGGACTCAAGAGCACAACCAGGCTAAAAAGGTCTTTAGTCAAGCGTTTAATCCAAAAGGCAAAATAATACAGGCAAAGATCCAAAAATGTACAGACTGGAAGCAACGAAAAACAACCAACTAAGTTGGTACAAATGCTAAACAGCTAGAACTATAGCTTACGTTAGGAGAGTATCTAGGAGCACCTCCTGCTAGACAGACAAGACGAACTGGCAATGACAAAGGCAACAGCACAGACTAAATACACAGGAGAGGAGTAATGATTAGGGACAGCTGAGGCTCATTGAGGTGATTAACAGGGAAGGAAAACACACAGGTGAGGGAGTGAGGCGATCAGCCAGGGCCAGGATGTGACAGATAATACTTTTCACTTGGGCTATCGACAATTTTGAATGCGGGACATTTGCTTCTAATACGTCGTTTTAACTTGGTAAATAAATGGAATACTTCTTCCACCTCTGATTTTAACCTGTCACTGTTTTTAAAACTTTAATTAAATGTTTGATATTTCCAGAGACCCTTTCAGACCGGCAATGCTGCCCTGCATGTAATTCCGATTGTCCATCGGAATGTAACAAAAGTAAAAAGTCTCCCATCCCCCTTGGGAGACTTTCTCCACACATTCCGATGGGCAATACATAAAAGGCGCGTTCACATCGCAGTACTTTTCCCACTTTAGTTCCGATATAGTTCCGAAATGTCGCGTTCACACCAAAAAGAGCCGGAACTAAAATTAGTTAATGAGAACCTTTTTACCCCCTTTTCCGTCCCTGCTAGAGAGCAGGTACTTTCGTTGGAGAAAAAAGGTTCCTATGTCTAATTGGCTGGGTGGATTGCAAACCACGCCCCGTAAAACTCCCAAAAAGTTTTGTGAAGCCGCCATTTTATTATCCTCGCATTAGCATTATTAGCATTAGCATTAGCCCAGTGCAGAAATGCAGAGAGACTAACTTATGGCAACACAAAATAAAACATGGGAGCGGTGGAGATGAG